TTGAGATAAATGAAATAGCCATTTGTTTGGAAAATATCGTCGCTGAACTTACCTTCGTTCCCGTTCAAAGTCGCGAAATGGGATGAAAGTCCTCATAATATCGAGCAATATCCGGGGTACGGTATACCGCAGTGATCCAGGGTTGACAAATATTCAAAAACATAAAGTAGAAAAAGAAAAAAAAGTCAATGGGAAAATAGTTAAAAAGTCAATTGTTTTGTATTATTTGAGTCATTTCCGCAGTAAAATTTCAACATTTTTAACAGTAATCATGGAAGATAACAGCAAGATCAAAAAAGTGATTGTCCTGAAAGCGTTAAATGATTCTTAATCATTTGACAACCCTTCTTCCTAATAAGCATTGCTTCAATTCACTTATTTGAATGGCTTTGAATAGTAAAGATTTTAGGCCTTGGTACTATAGTATGCTATATTTTCAATTACAGAAATAGATCAATTACATGATCATCATCATCACGTGTTACAATACCAAGGACATTAAAGATGACCTCAACCTCAATGCATTTGCAGGGGAAAGTAAGGACACAATTTTTGTCGGAGGTGTCTGGAAAGGAGTTAAGTGATGACAGGTTGTAATTTACCCAATACCTTTCAAAATTACTATAAATATGTAGGGGTTATAATTTTATGAATTATTTGGTTTTAGAAACATTTGAAAATATCATTGGTTTGTATTACAGAAATGTATATTGCATGTGAAGCGGTCAAGTATTTTCTATTTTGCACAAGTAAAGGAATTATGATAATGAAATTCTGAAGGTTGAACATACATGGCCAAAAATTTCAACACTTGTACTTATCCTGAATATCAAAAATTTTAAATTAAGATTTTTTAACAAGTCAGTTCCTTTTAGCTTACCTGACCACAAAGTGGTCAAGGTGAGGTATAGTGATGGGGCCATGTCCGGCTTCCGTCGCCTTGCATCGTCAACAATTGGGTTGTTAACAGTCTAGCAGTCACAGATTTGATTGGATCATCATCAAAATTTGTCAGAATGTTTGTCTCAATAAAATACAGATCAAGTTCGAAGATGGGCCATCTCGGGTCAAAAACTAGGTCACAGGAGCTAATAATAGAAAAAATTTGTTAACACTCTAGTTGCTGCAGTATTGATCCAAATATTCTGGAAATTTGTCAGGAAGGTTGTTTTGGTGACAGGGCCTTCTATAACAGGGGCCGGTATAGGGCTGCTTCCCCAAAGAAAATTTCTTTAAAATCATGCAGTTTTCCCCAGAAATTGAATTTACATCAAGTTTTTTCTTCCCCTTTTGCAAATATACCATGTAATTTTTCCCCAAAATTAAGGGCTGGGCTGCTTCCCCAACTTGTGAAAAAAAGCCCTGGGTGACTTCTAGGTCAAGTTCGAATATGGGTTGTTGACGGTCAAAATCTAGGTCACACTGCCCAAATATGGAAAAATCTTTTTAACACACTAGAGGTCTCATTTTTGACTCAATTGTCATCAAACTTGGCCAGGATGCTTGTCTAAGACATTGCTTGGATGCGGTTAATGGGTCAGGGGAGCGATCTAGGGCCATCATGGCCCTCATGTTTTATTCATAGAAACATATAAAGAGGCAAAAATGATCAAAATCTGTTAATGAAGTTGTGCTTTATCTTCCTTGTGCCTATAGATTCTCAACATTTCCTTCATTTTTGCATATGAATATAAATGCTGCATATCTTACTATTAAACAGTCCTGTCTCTATGAATAAAATGATATCTTTATGAAAAGAGTGATCACTATGCAGATGAGTAGTAGTGAATACATGCATATTTTTATGGTCTTTTAAAAATATAATCTAATCAAGTCAGTTCTTACATCCTGCAGTTTATCAACTATGGCTTTTGAAAGTGGAAGTCTTGGAGTCACATAATCCTTAATTTTGCCTTGGCCTTCCAAAATATGGTGCTTTTCCTTGCCTATATAATGTTATTTTAAATCAAAAGAGATTTTGCAGTCTCTGAATAACTTGACTTACAAATTTTGGATTTCAACATGTTCTGCACTTTGAGAATTGTATACACTAATGACTTTTGTTATAATAGGCTTGTGAATTTCTCATTTTAGACTTCAGCGAATCTCAAACAAAACAGTTGTAGATGGTCTGTCTATGAAGTAAAGAAGAAGAAAAAGTATCATTATATGGATACCATTTTACATGATGCTATAACCCTGAGAATTAATGACAAAAAGGGGATATATAAAAAAGAAAGTTAGAAGAAGATGACCCCCACAGACTTTCAAAACATTTAGCCAAAGTTAGCCCATAGCCTACCCAAGCCATTCATGAGGAACATAAATCAAGATTTGATTGACAAGAATGATAAATAATATGTTACACTGTTTGCCATACTATTCAAACATATTTAAGCTTACATTGAATACTTGGTATTCATGATAGTTTTATGAATTTTTTTTAGATATAGAGCTGTATCTATCTTGTTTCAAAAATCTCTTGATTCATTTGTCATGACTCAAGGTTTGTAACATTTTGTCAGAGAAAAAAATGACACTACTTTTAATATATGTGCAAATTATTATCCAATCTATCAAACTATAAGTGCTGTCATGAGCTTTAATGTGGTAAACAAAGTTATAAGTATTATTCAATTATACCTTTTGATATACATGTATGTCATTCATTTTTAGCTCAACTTTTCTATCTTTCTTTTATTTTTTTTAAAGAAATAAAGGTTACAGTCACTTAAGCATTGCCATTTGCTAACTTAAACCTTGTTCATAAGTTCTTACTGTTTTGTCTACACACTTGATCACCACAACCCTTGCAACAAGACCTTTAAGAAGACATGACTAACTTTGGCCTTCATTCATTAATGACCTTGACCTTCAAGGTTAAATGTCTAAATTTTGGATTTGCTTGTCATTGCTATTAGTGGCTCTTACTTTATTTTTAAATAGATTGCCCTTAAACTTGAGCATAATACTCTTTTAGGATAGACCTTTAAATTAACCAGACAGGCCTTGACTTTCACTCATAAATGACCTTGGCCTTGAAGGTCTAATTATTGAAATATTCATTTTTGTGCTGTAATAGGTAATAACTTGGTTATTATTGAATGACTTTATTTTATAGCAGAACATCCTTCATGTTTATCTAACTCAATTGACCTTGACTCTTTTATGACCTTGACATTGAAGGTTAAATTATTGAATTTTCACTGTTTTTTTTTTTTTTGGATATAAATGACTATAACTTGGTAATTGATAAATGGATTATCTTCATACTTTGACAAAATAACATTTTGGATTAGGCCTTCAGGAAGGTTGAACCGATCTTGACCTTGAACTTATATGACATTGACTTGCAAGGTCAAATATTGAATTTTGGTTAAATTGTCATAATGTTGTTATTTATATATTGCTTTGATTTAAACTTGCCACCAAACAAACATATCGAATAATTTAGATGTGACCTTAACCTTAACTTGCAATTGAATGTTATGGTTAAATTAATGAAATTCTCTTGTTGTTTTTTTGTAACTGGCTATAACTTTGTTACCTATAAATGGAGTAACTCAATGACTTTCATGTATATCAAACTCAAATTCACCTTGACATATGTATGACCTTGATATTGAAGGTCAAATTATTTTATTTTCACTTATTACTGCTAATATTGTCTTTAAAAAAAAGTCAACGTCAAATTATTGAAATTTTGTAAAGTGGTCATTTTGTTATGTACATATTTGATTCATAAGTGGACTAAACAACACTTGTGACCAAACAGATATGTGGAATTATTTAGGTACGACCTTGACCTTAATTGACCTTGACCATTAAATGACATTTAATGTCAAATGTTTGAATTTTGAATAAATTTTCTTAACTTTGTTATTTATTTATAGAAAGGATTTATACTTGGACAAAACAACATAAGTGTGACCAGACAGACCAATTAAATTAAAAAAAGAAGAAACAATATTTTTCTGTAATTTTCTTATTTGTTTGCTTTCAGGCAAAGTAAAAAGGTTAAGCGTTGCCACCGCCCAGTGGTGCTTCTTGTCTGTTGATACATCTGAACTTTCACCTTTCTGAGTCTAATCAAATATTTTACATGAAGCCATGATTCAGGGTGCAAATCCATATCGGTACCCTCTTTGCGAAATCTGCTGAAACGGTACCCTCTCTGAACATGCACAGGTCATTCTCTGCTAAAAACAAATCAGCGATGGATACCAATCCAGTAAAATTTCATTGTAATAAGGAAAGGAGGTATGTCACGTAGAAAAGATGTATACCACGGAACACTAGGATGTTTTATTTATGTGCTGATTTGTCATGTGCCCGATTTTCATGTACTGCAACTTAACAATAAGCTACAAAAAATCGACATGTCTCGCTTCGCCCATCACCTCAACATATTTTTCGGGCTGAAATGAACCTGTGGCTTGATTATATATGCATCATACATATCTAATATGTTCATTTACATATCATCTTCGGACAAATGGCAGTATATTGTCAAAAATAAATGTAAAATTCATAAAAACACCCTACTTTCGGTTTTGCAGCGGCACGGGCTACCTCTCTTCATTTGAATTTTTATATCACAGGTACCCTCTCATTTTTTAACACATGGGTACCCTCAAGCACGACATATGCTTTTATTTGCGTTAATCGTTAAGTATGTAATATTTACATAAAAGTAAAAAGTATTACTTACACACTTAACGAATAACGTAAATAAAAGTATATGTCGTGCTTTGAGGGTTCCTATGTGTTCAATAATGATGGAATAAGTAATTATAGCATTTCCGAACTTTTCCGTATGCAAATTAGTTAATTCCGAATGAAACCGATCCAGTTGCATCCGAGTGTTTCGGCGAAATAAGATTGAAATTGTATAGCAGTTCATCATTAATGCGGATATACTTATGATTGAGGTGAAAATTTATGAAAAGTAAGATGTAAGGTAAAATGTCATCGTTCAACGGAAATATAACTTTAATAAAATGCTCAAACCAATCAATGATAAACTCGATGATCAGAGTCGTCGTTTGACAAACTTAAACGAAAAACACGAAAATCAAAAGAAAACTGTGGCAGATCTAGAATATAAGAATCATAAATTAAGCTCCGAGCTCCATGAAGCTGATGAGAGAATAGACACCTTAGAAAGAAGTCTCGACGATCTGGAGCAATATGGAAGAAGAACCTCCATTCGCTTCCATAGGGTTTTACTTTATCCCTCAGGGGAATCTAACTCTTCAAGTCCTGCCGGAAAAAAATCGTCTAGTAACCCTCAAGGCTCAAACCCAGGATCCAATACTAATACTACCAGCAAGCCAGATACTGATAAAATAGTCCTGGATATCTGCAAAAATATGATGAAGGTCACCCCTCCCATATCTGTGGACGACATAGAGAGGTCCCACACAATAGGTCCGGTGCGTGGCGGCTATGGGCAGATTCTGTGTAAATTCAAGTGCTGGAAAACTAAAACTAGGGTTTTTTATGGCGAAGTCAAACCTTAAACATCACAGTTCCACTGGGTTCAAAGTCTTTGTAACAGAAGACACGACAGTTCATGGTCCAACAGCTGGACCAAGCTAGGAAAGACAATCTAAGTCACTCTCTCACCATTTGTCAACAAAGATTGTCTCCCCTTATGTATAGATATCACTTACCTATCATATCCATTGTCATGTTATAGTCCATCTAAATTATATTAGAACCAGCTTATCTATTGTATACACTAGTACAAAAGTACTCTCTAAATTAAAAATACTCCTAAATTTCAATAAGCCTTTCGTATGTACACTTCATGCATAATCCTTTATGCACAATCAATGTCCTGATTAAAAATACTCCTACTTAAATATGTCCCTCGTATTTACATACCACACTATATATTTGTACTAATTGTCATGCACGAGTCAGCCAGTTGACCTGTTCTGGTCTAGTCAAACTACCCATGTTTACCGTACATCAGTTAAACAGACAAAACGAATACTGTAACATGATTTTTTTATTTTATTTTTTTTTACATAAACACCATGTTGTATGAATAACTGGTCCCAAAGATTAAGCAAACCGTCCGATTGCTTTTTAAGGCCAATGAAAACTGATTAATACTTCTATATATATATAGTGTTATCATGTGTATATAATTAGAAATAATTGTATTCCAATTTGTGTATAGAATGATATTTTGATTTATTTGGTGTTTGTCTTGTTATTTTAATACATGGTACACGAGATACGTTAAAGTATCCTTTGCTTCGTTTTCGATATGTTATTCACAAATCATCACGGATTTATATAACATATCCGTGAAATCATGTAAACCGCTTTGTGAATTATCATAATTATTAGGTGCCACTTGAAGTCTTTCCATGACACCAGCTGATTTGTTGATGTTTATCTAACAGTGTCTGTCACATGACCGTATTAACGCGAATATAGGTTTGTTTACAAAATACTGTTCTGATCCGCCCACGCAATTATATCGCGTCCATACCTATAGTCTGTCACAAAAAAACATTCAATTTTATTTGAAATTTTTAAATGCACCGGTGTGATATGTTTTAAGTTGTCATCGCTACTGTTAATACATATATTTTTGTCATGGAAAGACGTATTTATGCAATTGCTTTGTATTTATGTACATGAATGTGTGTTTTACTCAAATAGTGTTTATATGTGCATTCATTAAATAGTATAACTAGAAAATATTATAATAGGCAATTTCAGTGTGTATGGGTGTTTATAAAATATAAAAATTTGATTTAGTTACTAGCTTCTTATCCTGGCATTAGAGCAAATCTAGATCTAATAAATATATTCACTTTGAAATTTCGCTGTTTCACTCCGTAGCGATAATTAATCTCAATCTTTGTTTTTGTATTTTTTTTCTATTGTTTTGATATTGAATTTATGTATGCATGGGTAAGTTTTACATGGTAGAATCATAATTGAACGATCAGTATTTACGTCTTTAACTTTTCAATAAGCTAACATTCTATGCGGCCTGCATAGTTTTATCCCCCATTTACGTCACAACCGGTAAGGGAAGTAACTCTTCCCTGACTGTTATCGCTTAAATGAAAGGGTCTATACTGTACATATTTTAAGGATCTTGTTGCTTTGTATTTATGTACATGGTATCAATGATTATACTGTACATATTTTAAGGATTTTGTTGCTTTGTATTTATGTACATGAATGTGTGTCTAATTCAAATAGTGTTTATATGTGCATTCATTAAAAAGCATCACTGATTATACTGTACATATTTTAAAGGCTTAAACAATTATGTTTCATGTTGTATAGTATTTTGTTTTGCTTTATAAAATAAGGTTATGCAGATACTTAAAACAAATCTATTCATAATGGAATCTTTTTAAAAGTTTGCCTGGCATAATCTAGATTAAAAAAAAATAATAATAATAATTTTTTCTTCATTATTTATTTACATTTTTGGAGATTGTTAATTTCTTGAAGAACATAATAACATTAACATGATTAAAGATACCAAATCAATTATGATCTATCTTATCTTACTGTCAGGCAGAATACTACTTATGGATTACATCAAATCTTAATATTTGAATATATTATTGTTATACATACAAACAGTCTGATTAAGAAATAAGAAAAAATTGTTTTAATTTACCAACAACCAACATTTTTGCCTTGAGCAAAACTTTTCTGTGAAATGGAAGTGTATTTTTTTCTTTGTCTTTTTTCCTTCATTGCTATCACTACAAATGTAAAATGTTCAGGATTCAGTATATCGGGGAAAGGGGATGTCACGGAATTAGTACTATGCATGTCTATATAACTAACCTGTCGTCGTCGGTCATGCGTATGGATTCGTGCTTACTTATCCCTAATGGGTAATTGTACTGTGGCATGGCGGATTGGTTTATTCTACAATGGTACGCAAGGGATTAAAAAGTCTCAAATGATAATTAGTTATCCGTTCTTTATTTTGTATTACAAGCTAACGCTTATTCTATTAATGTTTAAACGTACGCTAAACTCCTTGATCAGTTTTCTGATGGTATCCGTTAATAATGTTAGCTTTTCTTCTGTAGCTGTAAGTGTAAACTATTTGAAACATACAGTATGGAAATGTATACGACTATCGATAACTATCTTAGCCCCAAGCTAATATATGTCACTCCTCTATTGTTGTCCTTAAGTGGAGATATTGAAAAAAATCCTGGTCCAGGCGAATCTAACGATGATTGTCTTATCCTTAGTCAAAATATAAGAAGCATTAGGAATAAGTTAAATTATGTCAAAGATAACTGGCTTGATTTTGATATACTCTGCTTCACAGAGACACATCTTGATAATATAGTGTCGAACGACGATATTAAACTAGATAATTTTTCCACAAGTATATGTTTCAGACCAATTAATCTCGAAACGAAAATTTAAATTAGAGGACTATTACTTTGAAGAATCACTTTGGATTGAATTAAGAAACAAGCACACTAAGCAACTTATTTGTACTGTTTATAGACAACCAAATGCCCCCGTCGAATTCTGGAATAAAATGAATATTTGTTTAGAAAAAGCCCTTGAACAATATAGCCGAATAATGGGGATGTAAATGAAAATCACAAATTTAAAGATGTTTTAATATTAAACGACCTTAAGAATATAATTAGAGAACCGACTCGAGTAAATGCAAACTCCTCAACACTAATTGACCCAATAGCAATTCATGTTTACGATTCTGGAATAATTCCCACACCGAGCGACATCACTGACCATTTTGGAACCTACCTGTTTACCAAATATACGAAAGAATCATGTAAAACATATAAAAGACGTGTATGGAATTATAATAGAGGAAATTTTCAGGAACTTAATAATCTCATACAAAATAATGATTGGTCATTTCTAAATTAAAACTCAGTACATGAAGCCACCGAATTGTACTTAGATTAGCCGAAAACTGCATTCCAACGCGTTTAGTAACTATTAGACCTAAGGACAAACCGTGGTATGACTCAGTAATTCGTAGAACTTCCAGGCAACGTGATCGCTCAAAGAAAAAAGCAGTTAGAACTAATGCGATTTTTGATTGGAACACTTTCAAACATCTAAGAAACAAAGTCAATAATTTAAAAAAACATGCTAAAGAACAATTTTTTAATAATCTTGAGTATTCGTTGGAGGAGGCAAGTGTAAATGATCCAAAACTTTATTAGAAAACAGTTAAGTTATTGCTTAAAGAAAATTCAAATCCGTTTAATTCAATACCAACCTTATTAGTAGATGAAAATGGTAATGAATAACACTATGAAACTAATGCCGAAAAAGCAAATTGCTTAAACGAATATTTCATATCAGTGTCGCATATTGATACAACTTCTACTCAACTTCCGGTATTTATTCAAAAATCAAATAGAGGATATTGAATGAGTGTAAGTTCAATACTGATAGTTCAATACTGAATTTATTGCACGAGTTGAATAAAATTATATTATGCGAGCCTCTGGCGAGCATAATATTATTTTATTCAACGAGTGCAATAAATTCAGTAATGAACTTACACGAATTTAATATTCTATTTATCACATACCCAAAATAAAGACCGTTTAAAGAGAAATAAGAGTCATCTTTCATTGACGCGCTTATAGTATAACGCTAACATTTAGCGCATCATTACACTATGTTTGTATAACGCTAATGACGTCACGTCAAAATATATGCACGGCCGTGCAATACCATATTTACGGAGTCGCAAAATCGGCACGGGTGTGTGATAAACAACGATATTGAAAATTTTACAATTAATTACCAAGAAATAATTGATATATTGTCGTTATTTCCCGTAAACAAGGCGGTTGGGCCGGATGATATAAGTCATAAAATTTTAAAAGAAACAAAACTAACTATTTGTAAGCCATTATGTATTTTATTTAATAGATCTCTTCGAGAAAGTGTTTATCCTAATATATGGAAATTTGCAAAAGTTATGCCCCTTTTTAAAAAAGGAAATAGAAATAGTCCTTCTAATTATCGCCCAATATCATTCATGGAGCGAGTAATCTTCAAACATATATACAACCATCTACATTCAAACAATTTGAAATATCCCTTACAGTCAGGTTTTCTCCCTGGACATTCAACTGTTTATCAATTAATAGATATCTATCATCAAATTTGCGAATCCTATGACAAAAAACTATCGACCTGTATTATTTTTTGTGATATATCAAAAGCATTCGACAGGGTATGGCATCAAGGTCTGCTTTTTAAACTAAAACAATATGGTATTAAAGACCAGCTTCTCAGTTGGGTTACTGATTATCTCTCTAAAAGGAAACAATCTGTCTGCCATCCTGAATATATCTGCAAGCGTCCCTCAAGACTCAGCCCTTGGGCCTCTATTGTTTTTGATTTACGTCAATGATATTGCCGAAAA